GGGGACCCAGGGCAGCGGCCCCGGGCACCTCCGGGCAGGGGAGGGACGCTGGGGAGGGACTGCAGACCCCGCGTCCCTGGGGCACCTGGGGCCGGCGAGCCTCTTGGGCTCACAGCTGGCGCTCCTCGCTGGCCACGCGCGCTGAAGCCCAAGCAGAGCGAGGTGGCGCCTGTGCCGAACAGATGCCAGCCGAGGGGCCTCTGGCAGAATGCGGGACCCGAGCACGTGCCTGATGTGTGGGCCGTGACCGCTGCACATTGTGAACACCTTCCAGTTCGTGCCAGTTGCTGTGTGTTCTACGTGAAGACACTGCCAACAGGGAAGGGCTGCCTGGAGCACTTGCTTTAGATGGCAGGGTCCTCAAACATAAAGTCACCTCAGGGCAGATTATGTGTCCAAAGAAGCCACTCTCTGGAGAGACCAGATGTGGCTTAGACAGCTGTGCGCTTTTGTCTTGGGTACCTAGCCAGTCAGGACTTGGTAATTTGTAACCTGCCGCGAGACCCTAGGCAATGTATTCAGCCACTCTGAATCTCAGTTTCTTTATCTGAAAAATAAAAATAAAATGGAGGATCACAGAAGTTACCTCACAGAAGTGGCCTTGGAAATGAATAAGATATGGTATATGAAGGTGCTTTATAAAAGGTGGGGCCAACATAGGTTGCTAATGAGAAGCCTGTGACACCGTGTCAGAAACCTCAGGGTCTCTTCTATATACTAAGTAGGATCTGGTCACTAAAATACTTTATCTTTACCCAAACAGGATACCATACACTTAAGTGGATCTTTTATCACAGTTGCTGGGTAGGATACAAGAGTGGATAAAGCGTGATCCAAAAGAAAATGAATGATAGGAACAAACAAAATACCTCTGAACATATAGGGTGGACCTGCTAGAATTCCCAACACATATAAGCAAACTTTCCTACATGAAACAAACAAACAAACAAACAACAACAACAAAAAACCAACAATGTGACCCTTTCCAAATCACAATGATTCTATAAATGCAGGACTTAGGAAGGTATTTTACAAAGATATATGCACCAAATTTCTCCAAATACCAATTTCTTTCCATTCAGCTAATTTGCCCTTTCAACTTTCACTGCAATTTTACCTTTTTTTGGTGACCAATCACAGATCAGACTGAGGGTGGAAGCATTTAGTTTCATCTGCCCCAGAAACGCTTCTTTAGAGTGGATGTGGGTGCAGCTGTTTTCACTGCAGAGAGAGGCCACTGCCCAGTTTGACATCCCAGTCTGGTAGATCAGAAACTTCTACTTTCTGGTTGGGACCCATCATTTTTGTCAAATGCTTAATTTTTCTTCATTTCCAGCACAAGTGCCCATAGGACAAGTTATTGGCAGGGTTGCTCACAAATAAAGCTGTTGTTAGGTCTGTAGAGCAACTGTGTAACCAAAAAAAGCAGAAACTACCAAGATGAGAACCAAGACCAAAGAAGCTGGCAGCTCAGCCAAAGTCTTAGACCCGGGATTTAGACTCAAAATCAACCTTGCAGAGCCCACACTTCTAGCCCCTAGGCACCACACTCAGTTGGTGTCACGGATTACAGCAGACTCCAGGAATAAGTGAACAAGAAATGGTCCTTTCTCCTCAGGTATATAGGTTTCAAAAAGGAATGATGAAGCACAATAATATGAAAGTAAACTCTGCACCTCAAAGTGATTAAAATGGTGTATTTTGTATAATGTTTATATGACTACAATAAAATGTTAACAGCATTTAACATTTTGTAAAGTTGGGTAAAGGGGGGTGGAAAAGGAACTGAACACCCCTTGAAAGTGATCAATTGTAAGGATCTGAACTTCAGAATAGAAGATTCAGGGACAGGCTGCATATTTCACTGACATCTACTTAACAATGATAGCTAAAGAACTGAGAACAGGATGAGAAAATCCAGCAAGAAGCAAGAAAGCTCAACAAAGGAGTCTGATAGTGTCATCTGAGAAGAAGACAGAAAAATCAGGAGAGATTTGTACCAAAAGCCGTAACAAGAGGTCAGGGAATATCAGGAGGGTCACAAGCTTCTCAGTGGTCAAGGAGGATGTAGACTAAGAAGAGGCCATTGGCTTTAGCAATGAAGAAGGCAGGGCACTCATGTGCTGATCCGGAAAGTACTCGGGAATATTAAGAAAGGAATGAGGGGTGGGGAAGGATCATCCAGGAGTACAAACTTTCCTCTTGTCAGAGCTGTGGATGTGAATGATACAGGTGGGAAACAGGAAAGAGACTTTAGGAATCAGAGCCTAGCAGGAGGGCTTTCAGGTCAAGTGAGACTTGAATGTTTTGGGGTCTAAAGGAGGTCACATGAAGAAAGTGAAGTCAAAGACATGGTAAAAGGGAAGATAAATTTTAGGCAATGCCATGCGTTAGAATAAAGGCACTGAGATTAATATCACTGTCTTGTTCAGCCTAGGAAAGAAAGAAGAATGAAACCGGTACAAGGATGAGGTTGCTAATGACAAGAATGAGCTTTGAGTTGAAGTTTTGATAGACTGGTTCGGTGAGTTTGCATCCATTGCCCTGGTTTCCCCAGTTGAAGGAATCATTAGTTGAAACTGACAGAGGCAGATGTGGGCCTTCAGAAGGATGGAATGCGTTGTAAAGGATCGGGGGAAATAGGGAAGACTGCGACATGGCTCCTAACTAAAGATCTCCATCAGAATCACATGAATACATGCGTGGAATTAAATTTCTACAAGGTGAGGCAGGGCTAGGGATGGGCTTAGAGTCACTGTGCTAATGAAACTTAATAGGAATAGACCAAAGACTCACGGCCAGTAGTACTTCCTCAGTGGTTTTTAAGTGTGCCTGAGGTCCATGATAAGCAATGGTTTTACTCAGAGTTGAGGGTTATAAAACTATGGATGGCAAAAAGTCAAAGAAAAGGAAAAATTCAGAATCCTAATTTGTATAGTTTGTATAGTTAGGAAGAACAGCAGATTTAGGTCTTTTTTTTTTTTCTTTCTCTTTTTTTTTCTGAAAACTCGTGAACCCCTTTTCCCTTCTTAGTTTTGGAAAAATCCCACTTTATAAATGATAGTGAGAAGTAGAGCCACATGCCATCATAGAAGCTGAGAAATGTCAGACATTTGCATTTTAGAGAAATCTTTCAGTCCGGTAGCTTACTTTTGGTCTTTCCCATTGCTCCAGTCTCCTTCTTTAGACTTCTCATCTATACTGTGAGCTACCGAATACAATGTTCATTCATTCTTTTTCTGCCTCTATCAGCTGGAATCCATTTCTCTTAGCTGTGACTAAAGACCCTAAGTGAAACAGGAAGATACATGAAATGAACAACTAAGGCTTGGCCAAGAAGTAGAGAAAAAATATTTTCCCTTTCTACACTTCTTCAAAGTCTAAATTTTAGCATTTTTAAATGATCCAAGCTTTTTAAAAACACAGATAGAACCTAAATAAACAAACTTGTTTTGTAGCTTTTCCATACAAGACATTAGACTACCAAGGATTAAGGGTCTAGTGCTATAGCTATATTGGTGACTATTTGTTTTCCTTAAATTTCAAATCTGGAATAATGCATTATAATGAAGCATAACGTGTGTCACAAATCACTAGTTCTTGCAGGGATGTTGCATTTTGTTGCATAAACACCATTCTGACAGTTTAACGGTTTTTCTGATAGATGCTGGCCACACTGCAAAGAGAGAATTCAGAATGCTAGATATGCAAAATAAATGTTTTGTTGATAAAAATTTTCAGAATCTATTTTAGGCCATGAGCCCTTTGGGAACCACAAATCATAGCCTTTTCCTTTGTGGGGAAAACAAGAGTTCTGTAAATGGAGAGAAACAACTTGTTGAAGCCCATGCTGTGAGTAGTAAAAGCTAAAGTCTTGTTGAGCAGCAGCTAAGAGTATGAAATTTCTCAGCAATCTAAAGCTTTCCTTTGACAAAAGTGATATTGAAAGGAATGTCAGAGTCCCCCAAATGTTTTTAATTGGCTCTTTTGAATAGCATTCTTTTATTTTATATGGTCATTTAAAAATATATGTGATTGCTGCCTATAGAATCATATGAAAAAGAACAGTGCTTGGGGTCCACTTGGCTCCTGTCATTATCAGTGCTTTGGAACAGTCGATGGGACTTCAGGTATGTACTGTTTTTCTTTCTTTCTTTCTTTCTTTTTGGTACTGGGGATTGAACTCGGGTCCTTGCACTTGCAAGGCAGACCACCGAACCGCTGAGCTAAATCCCCAGCCTGTGCTGTTTTTCTTTACGAGATCCAAGTTTAGATCCAGATTAAGAAGTTTCCTTGAAGCAAGAAGACTGAGAAAGAAGTTAGAAAGCAAGAATGCCAATGTGGGAAATAAACACGCTGTCAGAAACAAGGAGAAGTGACACGAAAGTGCTTGTGGCTGGTCACAGTGAGTACTCCAGAAAGGTTGAGGCCCAATCACTCAACTCCCTCGTTGCTTCATTAAAAGTGTGCCAGAGACGAATATGATACTCTACTTTGAAGACCCAAAAAACTCCACCAAAAGACTTCTAGACTTAATTGACACTTTTAGCAGAGTAGCTGTATACAAGGTCAACACCCAAAAATCAATAGCCTTCTTGTACACAAATAACAGACTCACTGAGCGAGAAATTGGGAAACAATTCTTTTCACAATAGCATCCAAAAAAATGAAGTATTTAGGAATCAATCTAACAAAAGAAGCAAAAGACCTCTACACTGAAAACTACAGCACTCTGAAAAAAGAGATTGAAGAAGATATAAGAAAATGGGAGGATATCCCCTGCTCCTGGGTGGGAAGAATCAACATAGTGAAAATGGCCATACTACCAAAACTGCTACACAGAATCAATGCAATTCTGATTGAAATTCCAACAGTATATTTCACAGAACTAGAAAAAATAATCCAAAAATTCATTTGGAACCAGAAGAAACCTAGAGTAGCAAAAGCCATCCTAGGCAACAGAGACATGGCAGCGGGTATCACAATTCCCCAGTTGAAACTATACTACAAAGCCACCATGTTAAAAACAGCATGGTACTGGCAAAGAAACAGACCTCAGGATCAGTGGAATAGATTGGAAGATAGAGAAACAACTCCAGATGTACTAAGCTACCTCATCTTTGACAAAGGACCCAACCATCCTCACTGGAGGAAAGACAGCCTCTGTAATAAATGTTGTTGGAAAAACTGGATTTCAACTTGCGAAA